TGCATTCTTTGTTGTTTGCTCGTCTATGGGCAGGATACTTTTCACCTCCTTCTCCAATGGGCAGGGTCAGTCACTCAGGTATGGTACACCAGGGCAAGTCCAGCTGAAGAGGAGTTGCTGGGATAGGTTTTTTGTGGCACGTACCAGGGCTGACAGAGTGGACCGGGAATCAGTGCAGGACAGGTTCCAGTAGGCCGTGCCTCTGTTGCTTGGGAGCGTGATGTTCAACACATGGTGCAGTTGGGCAGGAAGGAGCGGGTAGATTGCGATGTGTGGAGCTAAGATGGATATGGGAAAGATGAGAGAGAGGAGAGAGGAACAGGAGCCAAAGACATACACACAAACAAAAAATAGTGCCAAGGGAGCTTGTTATTGGAGTGGAGAGATGAGAGACTGAGAAATGGCAAAAAACAAAAAGAAAAAAAAAGAAAAAGGGTAAAAGAAAAAAATGAATAAGTCGAGAAACTGGAAATGAAGAAAGACAAAAGGGAATAAGAGAGAGAAGAAAACTAAACAAAAAAATGGAAAAAAAAAGAAAAAACAAGAAAAAAGAAATGACCCCAGGGATGTCCCTGTGCATCTGCACAGGGTCAGGGACTAGCTTCCAAGCCATGCAGTACTCTCTGGCTAGAAGGGGCTCCCAAGCTGAGAAAAGAGAAAACAAACAAATCAAAACAGAACAAATCAGAGCAAACAAACAAAAAAGCCCCAGGGGTCCCACCAGCGTGGTGGCACGGACGGGGAAGCAGTTTCACAGTCAAGCAGTGTTTTGCAGCCTTTCAGGAAGAAGCAAAAATGGCGCACGGAGCCAGGTATTTGAAAGAAAGGAGGAGGAGGTGGTGAGAGGTAAGGAAGAAATCTAAAGAAGCAGAAAAAAGCAACACCAGCAGCCAACAAATGGTACTCAGAGAGCTGGACAGTGCAGGCGGGTGGAATCCAAGCAGCACTGGGGCGAAGCTCATGCTTTCCAGCCAGTAGACTGTGGCTGCAGGAAGCAGAGGAGGCTAAATGGGGGTGAAGAAGCGTGGGAGGTGGGAAAGCCTATATTGTGGGTTATCGGTTGTTCTGTCTCCTGCTGGAAGCTCCGTGAAGCTGCTTTCTCGTACCTCCTGCTTGCTGATCTCTGATGGGAGTCCAGGATGGCAGATCCATGCTGTGGTAGCTGATAGGGGACCTCTGCATGTATCTCTCTTCGCACTCTGTTCTCAGTCAGTTTCTTATTCCATTTGGTGCTTGGCTGAGTTCTTTACCTCTTCATTTGATGGTTAGGGTTTCAGGATTGACGTGTGACTCTGTTTGACTTAGTTTTTCTGATATTTGCTGCGGAGGGATGGCGTCGTGCTTCTGACTATAGAGCCATGTTGCCCACATCTCCGGATTCTCTCTTTTTAAAAACTTATATCTAGCACACATTATGCAATTGTTTAATTAAGACTTTCACTCTTGATTAGAAGTATAAACACATTGAAGTATTTTGAGAATCTGGGTCTCAGATATGAAATATAAGACTCAGGAAAGTTAAACATGAATGCAGTGCAGCAATCTCCTTGGATTTATTAACAGTTTATTCCTTCATTGAGGTAGGAGGGAGAGGCCCACAGTGGGTAAGTAATTGCAGACTTGTGTTGCTGTTGTTATTAGGTGCCGTCGAGTCGGTTCTGACTCACAGCGACGTTATGTACTACAGAATGGAACACTGCCTGGTCCTGTGCCATGCTCACAATCGTTATGCTTGAGCCCATTGTTGCAAATCACTGTGTCAATCTATCTCGTTGAGGGTCTTCCTCTTTTTCACTAACCCTGTACTTTACCAAGCATGATGTCCTTCTTTCTCCCGGGACTGATCCCTCCTGACAACATGTCCAAAGTATGTAAGACGTAGTCTCACAATCCTTGCTTCTAAGGAGCGTTCTGGTTGTACTTCCAAGGCAGTTTTGTTTGTTTTTTTTGGCAGTCCACAGTATATTCAATATTCTTTGCCAGCATCACAACTCAAAGGTGTTAATTCTTCTTCGGTCTTCCTTATTCATTGTCCAGCTTTTATATGTATATGATCCAATTGAAAATACCATGGCTTGGGTCAGGCACACCTTAGTCCTCAAGGTAACATCTTCGTTTTTCAACACTTTAAAGAGGTCTTTTGCAGCAGATTTGCCCAATGCAATGCATGTTTTGATTTCTTGACTGCTACTTCCATGGGTGTTGATTGTGGATCCAAGTAAAATGAAATCCTTGAATGCTTCAACTCTTTTCTCCGTTTGTCATGATATTGCTTATTGGTCCAGTTGTGAAGATTTTTGTTTTCTTTATGTTGAGGTGTAATCTATACTGAAGGCTGTGGTCTTTGATCTTCATCAATAAGTGCTTCAAGTCCTCTTCACTTTCAGCAAGCAAGGTGTGTCATCTGCATATCGCAGGTTGTTAATGAATCTTCCTTCAATCCTGATGCCCCGTTCTTCTTCATATAGTTCAGCTTCTCAGATTATTTGCTCAGCATACAGATTGAATAGGTATGGTGAAAGGATACAACTCTGACGCACACCTTTCCTGACTTTAAACCATGCAGTATCCCCTTGTTCTATTTAAACAACTGCCTCTTGATCTATGTACATGTTCCTCATGAGCACAATTAAGTGTTCTGAAATTCCCATTCTTCGTAACGTTATCCATAATTTGTTATGATCCACACAGTTGAATGCCTTTCTGTGTTTTATTGACTATGCAAAGGCACTTGACTGTGCACATACTTGTAGCCCTCAGAAACTCCTAGAATCTCTTTTTTATAATCTTAATATATATGAAGATGCCTTGGAAATTGTAAAATAAAACTATGAAAATGTGGGCCATTACTATTATTATCAACTCTAACAAGTTATAAGTTATTAGAAAGTTAGATATTTCCATTGTTGAGAAGATGGCCAGGCTTTTTACATTTGTTAGTACTCATTCCAGGCAACAAGTAAAATTTGTATTTAAGAATAAACAACTGCTTGATAAACTATACATTATTTGTATAACATAAGTAAATACAATGGGGAAAAATTGTGTTTCTCAACATAAAATTTTATGTACATAAATAATCTACCATATTTTATATTCTGTCACAAAATTGTTGGAAAAAAATTAAAAAATGAAAAGGCAAATGACAGCCTGGGAAAAATGTTTGCAACATAACATTACTAAAAAACCAATTGCAATCAAGTTGATTTTGGCTCATGGTGACCCGATGTATGTCACAGTAGAACTGTGTTCCATAGGGTTTTCAGTGGCTCACTTTTGAAAGTAGATCACCAGGCCTTTCTTCTGAGGAGTCTCTGGGTGGATATGAACTTCCAACCTTTCAGTCAGTAGCCAAGAGCGTTAACTGTTTGCATCACCCAGGGGCTCCAGCATATATGAGAAAGGATATACATTCCCAGTAGAGAAAAAGGCCTTCTAAATTGACAAGAATTTATGGTTGAAATGCTTGCACTCAAAAGTAAGAGTCAAAATGTCTGGCAGGATCAAAACAGAGTCAAAATGGGAAGTAGACCTTCCACTCACCAATAAATGAAAACTGTGAGATGGAGAAGGCTTAAGGGACAGGACCTCCCACTCCCCTACTGTCATGGTTTGAATTATGTCCCCCCAGAAATGTGTGTATCAATTTGGCCAGGCCATGATTCCTGGTATTGTGTGATTTTCTTATATGTTGTAAACCTGCCTCTATGATGTTAATGAAGGAGGATGGGTGGCAGTTGCGTTAGTAAGGCAGGACCTGATCTACAAGACTGGCTTGTGTCCTGAGGCAATCTCTTGTGATATAAAAGACAGAAGTGAGCAGAGAGACAGGGGGACCTCATACCATCAAGAAAGCAGTGCCAAGAGCAGAGCACCTCCTTTGGACTGGGGTCCCTGCACAGAGAAGCTCCTAGTCCGGGGGAACACTGAAGAGAAGAAGGCCAACAGAGAGAAAAAGCCTTTCCCTGGAGCTTACACCCTGAATTTGGACTGTTAGCCTACTTTAACTGTGAGGAAATAAACTTCTCTTCGTTAAAACCATCCACTTGTGGTATTTCTGTTATAGCAGCACTAGATGACTAAGACACCTACTCTCTTGCAAGCATCTCTACTGTAGACTGACCTGTGCTCCAGTATATCTCAGTCCAGAATAAAGTGCAGGCCATGACTCCCACCACTTCATCTCTTCCTCAGAATCATCCTTGTTGCTTTTGGTAAAATAACTATTGACCATGTCTGATGTTCTACTCTTATTTTGACACTTCTTAGCCTCAGGTCCTAAGGTCTCTTAACCCATGATTCCCATCTGTCTATTAAATTGTCTTCCCAATTAAAAGAGAAAAAAGTTAATTCATACTCACAACATATTCGTAACACAGCCTTTATCCTCTGCCCCCTTCTCCCACTCACCCCTTGTTGGATAAAGCCCAGGGTTGGATGGGTCAGAACAAGAAATAGAATAAATGGAAATGGATGGTGATGGGTGTGCAGAAGGGAGTGAGTAGGGAGAAAATTATTGGAGCTAGCTGGTACCATTCTTTAAAAGCCAGAAAACAAGGCCCATGAAAAGACTGGATAACGATACTTTCTAAGTAAAAATATTTATTTGCACATAGATTTTATTCACCCTGAGTTTGCCCTACCCTTCATTTATATTAGAAGATAAAGTATTTTATTTCACTGGGATTATCGTAATGAAAGATCTTTTTTTGAAACGGTAACTGAAAATGTGGATTCTGTAATGATAATCGCAGTGTTTATAGGTGTAATGATGAGTTCCATTCTACTGCTTGTATGCAGTAAAGTAAAATAGAATCCAAATTTTGCATGTGTCTAGTTTATTCTCACATTTTTAACTGTTTTACTGGTCATAACATTTCTTAGCACCAGAATCCAGCACAGCACCTGGCACTTAAAAAGTCATCAACAATCATTTAGTGAATAAATGAATGAATCCCATCCATACAACCTGGATGTGATTGACAATCAATCCTTTTTTAAATTTTGGTGAGTATATTGTAGGCTAATATTTATTCACACAGATTGCTGAACCTGGGAAAATACCTGCAAAATTAGATACAACAAGACCCCTTTGCTTCTTGGGAGCATTTTATTTGTTTTTCTTATTGAAGAGAGAGTTTGAAAGTGCTTATTACAGAGTAGCTCTCCTAATGGAAAGTGACTCAAAATGAAGAAGTCTCAGTTCAAGGCCTCTTTTTTTTTTTAAACTCTTAGTGAAAAGGAAGTGAATGTGAGGTAAATCACATTAACTTAAAGCACCACAGAGATGAAACTTAAAGCCGGAAGAAACGTATATCATCCGTGTACTGAATGGGAGCGCATTTGTGTCATGTGAATAGACATGACAAAAACGGCCCTTCTTAAACTATTTGTGGCAATAGTAATTACAATTATTTTAATTTTGCCAGAATATTTCAAGACACCAAAAGGTGAGTATGTAATCTATTATTTCCTTTTTTAATTTTTAAGAATAATGTCTGCTAATGATTCTTCTGAAAGTCTTCTATGTCTGAAAAATTACGATGAGATTGCAATTTTGATTGACCGTTACAGACTTCAGTAACCTTATTCATCTTACTTAATTATTGTAGTTTACTTAAAAATGAAAAGAGACATTTAAAATGTGTAGTTTAGATTTGAAACATTGAGTTTATAATCATCTCATCACATGAGTTTGCACTCTGAAACAGTTTCCTTAAAAGCAGTTGTAAATGTGTTTTTACATTCTGTAATCATTCAATAAAATGACATTTATTATATTAAAAAGTGCTTGAATTCCCTCCATCATCACAATTTCACACAAATAACTTACTGCCACTTTTTGAAAAGTAAGAGTATTTAGATATCTTCAAAATACAGTTAAAATAAGACAGGTGCAACTTTAAGCAGATGTGTGTGTGTCTGTCTGTGTGTTGATGACTAGAGAAGGATGGGACAAAATTAACTCTGTGAATATTTCCAGAGGATTGTGATATGACTGTTGAAACTTAGGTTAGGAAAGCAAGTGGATGCAAATTTAAACTTTTTATATATTAATAAAAGATTTGAAAATGTATTCATATGATTGTTTGGATGGTAATTGTGCTCCCTAGCATTTAATAGTAAGAAAAAGTAAAAAAGAAACTGGTGTGTCTTATCATTAAAAAGTTATCAATGAATTTCATTAAAATCTAGATAAAAAATTATATTTGATGACTTGCTACAATGATTATTTAATATTACAAATACATGAGCTAAGTAGATAGATAAAAATATTTTTTGCTAATTGTATTTGATGACATATTGCCATGATTATTTAATGTTGCATATGCATGATTTTAAGTAGCCAGATAAAAATATTTTCTTCTAAGCAAACACTATGATTATGCAATTTTGTGAATGATTGTATTTTTCAAATTTCTCTTGATTTGATGGCATCATGTTGGTTAGATAAAGCAACTTCAGCATGTACTCTTAATGCCTGACTTCACTGAGTGAAAATGTTATGAAAATTTAGAATTAGAATAAAGGTAACCTATTTCAATGTTGAAACTTGTACATAAGATAAACAGGCTGAGAGTAAGGTCATAAACTAGTTACTTAAGGTAGGTCATATAGATGACTGACAACAATAGATCTCCAACTACAACAACAAATCATCTCCAAAATTTAGCTTGGATTTAATAAAAACTGTGTAGTAAGCTTAAAAAAAGGTTTAGTAAACTCTTTGCTAAGTATTGGTTAGTGTTTTATGAGAACTAGTGACTATAAGAGCATGTTAAAGTTTTTCTTTTTGAGGCTGAGGTTTCTCAAAGTAGGAAGTGTGGTCTTTGGGGTAGTTGTGGGCAGAAAGAAGACAGTTGAAATAAAGACATGTATAAGAGCACACCTTTGGGAGCTTTAGTGCCCCTTCTATTTGTGGGTAGAAGCAAGAGCTTTTATGAAGCCCTCTTTAGTCAAACTTCATTGGCCTAAAGTAATGTGTCAGTTCTCCTTAATCTTGTCAATAATCAGCCACCATAGCGATTTTTGTTCTCTTGGTTTCATAACTGATTACATCAGCTTCCAACACTCCATTTCCTGCCTCCCTCAAACTTAAAATAGCTGCTTGTTTCCCTTTTCCTGGTCCATGAATAGAATAGATATTTCCTCAAACTCTTTTTAGATTTATTTGGGGATTTTGTTTCAAAGAAATCCTAGTTAGGGCCAACAAACAAAAAAGTTTGAAAACCCCTGTCTTATTCTGATGTTACTTAGTGGTAAAAGGAATCATGCTCAAAAGCCACCATAAATGGAAAGTTGATTATTAGGCAAAATGTTTTATTCATGCAATAGTGTAATAATAATGCTTCCCATTTTTATAATGGTTTATGGATCACCAGGAACATGTTCATATAACTTCATTTAATACAGTCCTATATTGATTAAACTATGGAGACTTGACCATATTTGTGTGCTTTTTTGTTAACAGTTTTTGATCACGGTAATAGTTGGTCTATTACATGAGTTGACTTGTCAACCTATGTATTTCATAAAATAAAAACCTGGAAAAATTATTTAGATGATAAGCTAAGAGTGTTCTAGAAATGCTAAAATTAACCTGGAGATTCCCCTGTCTAGTCTTATACCCTCTCTATCAGAAACTTGTGTCTTTTTTTAAAAAATTATTTTTCTCTTGTGTTCTGTTCACTCTAATTTCTAAGATAAATACTATAAAATGATTTTACTTATAAATTATTCACTGATGCAGTCTTTAACATGTCAAATGAATTCAAAAAGAATCTTAATGAGGAATAATGTATTCACGAGGTTTAATAGATTTTATTTCAAAATAATAAATCCTCTGAAGGCCTAGGTTAAAAATAGAGCACTGTTTGATCATTTTTCATCAAGAATGTATCTGAGTCTCTGAATAATCATTAGGGGGAATATTCAAATATCACAATTACACAGTGTAAGCTATTAGACTAACTTTCCAAAAGAAGAAGGACTCCAACAAATTCTTCAACCATATTTGAGACTTCTAATGAGTTTGCATTGGCTATGCACTAGGCAAGATATACTATTCTACAGCAGTGTTTTTAACCTTTCAGCTTATTTGAAAGACAGTTTATTCTAAGACACAATAATTAATATAATGAACTGATATATTACAAGTAGATAATGAAGATATAAAGGGGAATGGATATATTTTGAATAAGAGCTTCTTGCAGTTAAGGGTGCTGGGTTGCTCCCAAACAAGGAACTTTGCCAACCTGCTTCTGTTGGACTTAAATTTTAAGAGAGATCTGTTTTTTTCTCATATAAAGCTCAGTGATCATTTGTTTATTCTTTCACTCATCTAGAGTGCCTACTGTGCGCTAAGAACTCTGCCAAAAAACCTGGGGATACAAACATAAAAAAGTTAATTCCTTCTTTAATGAGTTTTCAGTCCAAGGGGAAGACTGACGGACAAAAAATTAAATACAGTACAGTAATGATTTAAAAAACCACCAGTTGCTTTCAAGTTGACCTGACTCGTGGCGACTTCGTGTGTTTCAGAGTAAAACTGTGCTCCATAGTGTTTTCAGTGGCTGATTTTCCAGAAGTAGATCACCAGGACTTTCTTTCAAGGTGCCTCTGGGTGTACATGAATCTCCCGCCTTTTGCTTAGTGATGGAGGAGGGACTGTAATTGCTAAAATAGTTATATAAAAAGGTGTAATGGGGATGTAATAGTTGCTTCTGGGCCTGGCTGCCATTTTAGTTTGCAAAGAGAAATAAGAACTGTTAGAGTTTGAATGATCACTTAATATTCCTCCTTACCTGCTTGTGCAAACTCTGAGAGAAGCAATTACTATTGATTTTCAAATAAAATTTCCTCATATTAATATCTTAACGTTTCCTGAAACCAGAAATTGTAGTGACTAATACAAGTGTACTTCCAAGGATCTATGGTGATGTGGGACAGGAATAGCACAGATGAAAACACCTCAAACCTAATTTTATTTAGCTGTTTTGACTTCCTCACATACTTTTAAGAGCCAAACTGACATAAACTATGTTTACCAGCTTTTATTTCTCCTTCCATTTCACACTTGCTGATGGAAATGGGAGTGTAGTGAGCAGTGAAATTAAAGAAAACAATGAATAAAGGATAAAGGAACTTCAAGCACTTACAAATTATAGGATAAACCCTTAAATATATAAGCATATATACACTCACTTATGTCTGTGTTATACAGAATAGCATATCAAATGTAACTGCAATTAATTTGCCTAAAGTGTTATCCTAGCTCTCAAAAACGATCACTTTATTTTCTTTTTGTTAACTGGATCATTAATGATATAATCATAGTCCTCAATGAGGTTTGGAATATAGTCTTTTAATGACTATTTTAATTTTAAAAATTTAACAAATACTCATATGTACACTTGCCAGGTACTATGTCAAATGCTTTTACAAATAATAGCACATTTTAACTCATATTAAGTATTTTAACCCTGGTGAGGCATCTTTTTCAAGAGAGGCTGTTCTGAAAATCTTTGGAAACAAAGAATAAAACTAGATGGATAAAGCTATTTTGTTATAAGACTTTACTTCTTATTGAATTTCCTGAATCGTTATGGTTTTAACATGGCTAATGATTTGACACAATATTTTTATTTATATATATTTTAGACAATATGTTCTGGGAAAAGTACTGCTGAATATGATACTTTTTCATTACTTTGGCAGAACTGGCCTCACGCTCTCATCAGTTATGTTAGAATGCCAACAACCCTCCTTTGGAATTCCTTTTAACTGCGTATCTCATTACTTTAGTGGATAAATGCTCTCAGTATATATTTATTGTTTTTATAGAGAAAAATGACTTTCTCTAAGACATTAACATGTCGTTTTATCTTTCTGTTACTACTCCCTCTCTTATCTCCATAGCATTTATTACCTATATAATTTGCTTATTATGTATATTTTTTATTATGACATCCCCAACTAGAATACAACTACATGAATATGAAGGTTTTATCTGCTTTGTTTACTGATGTGTTGTTTCAATCACTTAGGACAGTACTTGTCACATTAGGAGGCACTCAATGAGTATTTGTTGATTGAGTGAATTTTCTGAGTTCATATTGTGTTGTTGTTAGGTGCAATCGAGTCAATTTTAACTCATACCATCCCATGTGACAGAGTAGAACTGCTCCATAGGGTTTCCTAGGCTATAATATTTACAGAAGCAGATTGCCAGGCCTTTCTCTTGCAATGCAGCTGGGTAGGTCTGAACCGCCAACCTTTTGGTTAGCAGCCGATGCTTAACCATTGTGCCACCAGGGCTCCTTAGTCATATCGTGAAAGGGTATAGAAAGGAAATGTTTTTGAAGGAAGTGTTTTTTTTATCTGATCCTCACAATCATCTTGTGATTTAGGCAGGCCAGATATTATTATCCATATCTTACATTTTTGAAAC